GTAGTGTATATATATATAGATATATATGTTTTATTTTTTTAATTTTTTTGAAAGGGAAACTATCTGTGCCTGCAATTCTTGGAAAGTTAATCACCCTCGTAACCCCATTTCAGTATGTAATTGGAGGAGATATAGACATATGGGAATAATCTTGCTGTAATTGCCCTGTAAGGTTATGTTAACATGCTGGGAAATTTCAAACACATTGACATTTTCCAGCCAGAGCAGAGCCACAATGTGTGTTTTTTTCATTTATTTACAGTGGAAAAGTGTCGGAGGGGACAATAAGAAGCAGCCCAGGTCACTTTGTGTCTTTCCCAACTGTTTTAATAAGGAGTAAACTAGCACAATTTCTTCGCCCTCACACACACACACAGGCAGACAGCCTACTGTGACTGCTGGCCATAAAAACACTACGTATATGTATGTAGACTTGAAATAATTTCTCTGATGCATTCTTTACTTTTTTCTTGGAGAAAATTATCAGAAAAGTATGCATATTTGTTCTGTATGCTGGTACAAAACAACTGAAGACTAATGTAGACCAATATTTTAAGGCATACATTTAAATTTCCCCTTTTAAATAAATCCTCTTATTTAGTGTTTTGAAAACCACTTTCAAACAGCCGAGCATTCGTAAAATGAAGCTCCTTTAAGTCTGCAGCTTTTTTAAAGCTCTGTGGAAACTGTGATACATTCTCCTGACTTTAAATTAGGGATTAATCTACAAATAAATAAGTGAATGAGTAAATGAAATGTCAGCGCAGGTTTGCCGCAGCTTTGAGTAAAGCAGGATATCTTCAGAGGCCGGGATGAGGCGGATGGTTACTGTTTGCTACATATATCAGGGCCACACAAAAGTCTGCTTGTTTATCGCTGTGGAGTTGGGCTTTGTCATCACACACTGTGAAGTTATAGGCACTGACACTGGGAACAGCGTGACCCACTTCTCCCTGACCTGGAAACACTCCGCAGGCTGACCCCGAGTCTAATGCCAAAGCGAGTTGCATCAAGTGAGAATAAAGAGGACGGGGGAATCAAATCTAGCCTAATCATGAATTATTAAAGGCTAAAATGATAAGAAAGCACAGAGGTCAGAAGCTCCCAAAACACTGTGTGGCACTTACGCCATATTTGGAGTGCAAAAGGCTGGGACACCCATGGGAGAAGAGAAGAAAAAATTAAGTGAAAGAAAATGGCTACTAGTGGCCTTTTTTCTTTCTCCTTCATCTGCTTATCTATACATTCACCTCAGTCAAAAACACTGCCCTGAGGCTAACAGTGAAATCCACTTTCAAGGAAGAAAAAAAAACAGCATAAAGGAACAAAGAGGGGGATCTGAGGCAACGTCAAGTGTTTGACTGCTTTGCTGTGCAGCATGGAGGAAAATGAAAACCTGGTGATTTTGAATGACTTTTGGATACAGGCATATGAAGTTAGCCCAGTTATGTGAGGACAAAGGAAAGGCATGTGCTGGGCTACAGCCAAGTAGTTCCATATGGGTGTTGAGTTCATTGGGTCCAGGTGGCACGTGGGAGCATACATTACATAGAGGTTCAGCATGGATCTGCTGCCCCCTCATGGACTGAGCTGTGCAGTGCTGCAGGAGGCCTGGCTGGATTTATGAGGTGATTTTAAACCAATAAATGACCACTAGAACTATACAGTCTCCTGAAAGATAGTCTAATCAAAAATAAAGAGATTTTTTGACAC